TATATATATATTATATTGGGTCGCCATTTCTTACCGGTCTTTGTTTTTGGTTCATCAGCTGCTATGGTTGCATCCGTTTCGTCTTCCGATTCGTCCTCTTCCTCGTCGGATTCTTCATCCTCCTCGAAACGTGATCACCGCCGCCGTCCGCGTCGGCTATTGGAGAGGGACGATCTGAAGGTCCGCAAGAGGCATCGTACGCGAACAAAGACAAAACGCAAGCACCGCTATTCCCGTGATTCTTCTTCTTCAAGCTCCGATACTTGCAGGCGAGTTTTCTATTTTTAATTTCTACTTTTCTCTATTTTTGTATGCAGTTTTTATCTTGGAAGAGCTTTTTAATTTGTGAATTTCTCCGTGATGGATTCTCTGAACTTCCGACCTGATGGAATGTAGAGAGAAATTGTTTTATTTTGTTGCTTCGTTCTTTTTTAATAACAGATCGTTGTTCTCACATGTTTTTTTTTCTTAATTAATATGGTAAAAATACATGAATGGACTAAGATCTAGAGGTACTTCTCTGTGTTTGTGTGAAGGTTTCAATATTGAGTAGAGGGTCACTGTGCCTAATTTTTTATCAATCCGAGATAGAAAGGTCTAGCGACTATTCCAATGCCAAAGACTATCTTTCTAATCTTGATTCTTTGATGCCTGTAGTTTCTTTATGTTAGGATTCCTTCTTGTTGTGGGTAACTATTAGGCTGAGTGGATCCTTGCAAACGAAATGACAAATTGATATACCCTTTGCAAGGGCCCGATTTAAGGGTTAGCAAAGGATTCTAGCTGTGAACGAGAGGGGAGTGTGAGAGATTACCCTCAGGAAATGTGCGGGTTAGAAGACTTTGTAGCTTTGATCTCTATTTATTTTGGACGAATTCCTTGACTCTTTTTTATTCATTCTTCTTCGCTACTCATTATACTTCTTTCTTACTCCTTCCTTTTGATCTGCAATGGATGGTCACTCTTCTTCCTTGTCGTTCTTTTTTTTTTTTTGTGGAAATATTTCATTCACGATGGAAAAACCTGATAAAAGCTACTATTTTTAAGTAAAAAAATTATACTTAAATTTGAATTTAAAGAAGTCCTCAATTTTGGTTACTTAATGGATATTCCTCTCTTCGCTAGAGTTGCCTACCCCTTCAAAGTAGTGGCAGTGAATTCTTTAATTTTAAATCACTCATTACTTTCATAATTTGCAATTTAAACTCTTTTTTCTTGTGAAACTTGTTTTTTCGTCGGCTGATCCTATATATTTAGAGTTGGAGACAGGAAAAGATGGTAATGCTTGTATGGTGCCCCATATAACTTGGCTTGCAATGATTGTACACTGCATGCGTGAATTTCATGTTCCTGGAGCCACTTAGATCAATCAAAAATATCCTATTTTTATTGTCCTAGTATAAATTAAAATTTCTCTAGGTTTTTGGTTGTTTTTTTTTGTTCTTTTTTATAACTAGCAAGTGTGCTCCTGTCTTGTTATGTTTAGGTTGCTTTCTTGACTTTCAGAGTTTTTTTATTTATAATTTTCTTGGTAATTCTATCAGCAACGCATTGTTGTTTTGCATTTTATGCTATTCCATTTTTCTCAACTTTTTATTTCTTTTTTTCATTCCTTTGCTTTCATGAATTTTAAGAATCTACTTGTGAAGATTATACTGGTCTATATCTTATAGAAAATTTTGATAGTCACGCCATTATAGTTGACATGAAATATGTATATGTGTATAGTCTTTAAGATTAAGAAGTAAAATATGTAATATCATGGATGCAAACAGGGCATAAATAGCATTGATGGAAGTTCTTTAAAAAAATTACCATTATTATTATCATTTTAGACTTTATGCTGGAATTTAATACTAAATATTCAAGCATGAAATCCATACATGCCATATTTCGTCATGTTAAGAGATTTATTTTACACTCTTTTGCTGATTTTATTCATAAGGTCGATAAATTATTGATTATGAGCACTCTTTAATATGCAGTGAGAGCTCATTAGATAGTGGTTATGAGGAATCGAGCCATTCAAGAAAGCTAAAGCATGGTGACAAAGTGAGAAAGGTGAGGTCAAATGACCTTATGATTTTCTACTTCAAATAGTTTGCATCATGCCAATCTTTTGTATCTTCAAAATGTTTTAACTAACCTTTTAATTTTTGATTGATCACTTATCAGGTCAGGGAAAAGGACAGAAGCAAGAGTCGCAAGCACAAGCATAGCAAGAAACAGGCTGCAAAGGTACAAAAACTTTTCTTTGTTATCTTGTTTAGGGTTTATTTTTTCAACTATATATTTGGTTCTCAAGTTTATTGTTAAAAGCAATGTCTAGTGAATTTATCTAAGGATTTTTTCGGGGCAGATGCTGTCGTCCATAAAGTCAATTAAAAAGCTATTGTAGAAAAAGTTGTGCTTGAATTAGTTTCTATTGTTTAAAACTCCAGTTTTCAGTGTATTCCTCTTAAACTCTAAAATTGATTTGTTATTTGGTAAAATTTTATATATTCGTACATGCGATCAGTTGAAAAATGATCCAAATGCCATTATTCCTGTTAAATCTAATATGAATTAGTTAATACTTATCAAATTGATTTTGCTTTAAATAGAAGTCAAGCAAGTCATTCTTGATAATCGATGCATATTTATAAATGACTTGCTAGAATAAAAACTAATGTGTTTTTTCAACATTAAACATAATTATATAAATAACTAAAACATAAAAAGAGAAAAATGTAAAAAAATTAATAGTTTTATTAATTGTCTTCTATTTTCTTATTTTTACAAATCATAGTTTATAAAGATACTTAAGGATTCCCAACCTTTATAATGTTGTGCAAATATAGATTTTTTTATTAAATTGTTGAAAAAAATGACAGCCAGAAAATTTCCTGAAGGAAATTTAGATAACTTGAATATGGATCGTCATTTTGCTCAAGCTAGCACAGGCGTTGAAAATCTGGATGATCTAAATTTGTCGACATATAAATTTTAAGTAAATCAATGAAAATGATTTTTTTATTAATGAATGGTTAGAACAAAGACTTTTTGGGAAAGCAAACTCATAAAATAACAAAAAATCAAAAAGAAGAAAAACTTTGTGACAAGACAAATTAAAAGCAATGCAATTGTCGGTTTCAAGCCCGAATGTGAAAAATTGAGGGTTGCGTTAGGTAGTTAATAGATAACGTAAAACTTATCGAAAAAATCATGACATGATCATTGTGTAAGAGCTAGGGCGTCCCTTGAAAGTAGCGCGCTGTATGACCTAAATACAGTGAAAAGTGTACAAGGGATGCTACACCAGTGCCCGAGTATAGTGCCAAATAAGCAAGGGTTCCCACATTACGAACGAATGCGGGTAAAGAAATTAGTTCATGAAACTAATATTATGAAGGATCTTGGAATATAAATACTCTCAATGGTACATTAATGGAATTAGTTGATATTATGATTCATAGAAAGATAAATATGTTATGTATTTAAGGTATTCAAGAAACTAAATGTTTAAGAAACTACATGGGTTGGAGAAAAAGCTAAGGAGATTGATAACTTAGGCTTTAAACTATGGTATTCTGACAAGAGTCACACTAGAAATGGTGTAACTGTAATTTTAGATAAAAATTTGAAAGATAATATTGTAAAAATTACTAGAGTTGGAGATAGAATTAAAGCCCTTAAGATTATTATTGATATTAAGATTTTTAATGTTATTAGTGCTTATGATCATCAAGTTGGTTTAGATATAGGTTCTAAAGATAACTTCTGGAATGACTTAGAAGATTTAATACAAATGACACTTCTTAAAGAAAGAATTTTTATTGGAGGAGATTTAAACGGACATGTCGGTAGAGTGATAGAAGATTTCAGAAATATTCATGGTGGCTACGGTTTTGAAGTGATTAATGAAGAAGGTAGAGTCATATTAGATTTTGTTTTTTATTATGATTTTGTTAGTACTAATACTTTATTCAATAAAAGAGATGAACACCTTATTTCTTATATGAATAGATCTAATAAAACACAAATTGATTATTTTTTTATGAGAAGAAGAGGTCGTCGAGATTGTAAACGAGATTGTAAAGATTGTAAAGATTTTAAGGTCATTCCAAGTGAGGATTTAATTACCCAATGTCAATTATTAGTTATTGATTTTAAGATGAAGAGTTATAAAATAAAGAATACTATGATTCATCATCGTGGAATTAGATCAGGGTGACTAAAAGATAAAATAAAATTATTTTTATGAGTAAAATTCAACATCTCAAAATTTGAGATGTTCTTGAAGAAACAAATGCTATGTGGGATAAGGTAACAAACACTATTAAATAAATGACAAAAGATGTACTTGGAGAATCAAAAGAAAAAATTTCTATAAATAAATATAGTTGGTGGTGGGATAATAATGTGCAAAAAAAGATAAAATATAAGAAGTTATGTTATAAAAATTGGTTCAAATGTAAAAGCTTAGAGAACTGGGAAAAATATCTAATGCCCCACAGATAGTCTAAAAATTAAATTTTTTATGCTCAAAATTTTGCTTTTAGTGATCATTATAATATATTAGATACTAAGGAGGGTGAAAAATATTTGTATAAACTAGCTAAATAAAGAGAAAAGAAATAAATAAAGAGAAAAGAAAAAATAAAGAGAAAAGAAAAATAAAAATTTAACTCAACTAATGTGTATTAAAGATGAAAATCAAAAAGTATTTTTCTTAGAAAAAGATATTCAACATAGGTGCGTGAGTTATTTTGATAAATAAAGTTCCTAAAAATACAATCGGCCTTAGTGATCTTAATTTCGTTAATAATAATCAAACATTTTGTTTTTATCGTCACATTAGTAAAAAGAAGTTGATGAGGCTTTAAAGAAAACCAAGGGTGGAAAGCTGTAGGACCTGATGATATCCCAATTGAAGTCTAGAAATATTTTGGAGATTTGAGAGTTTCTTTGCTTATTAAACTCTTTAATATTATTTTTAAAACTAAAAAGATGCCAGAGTAGTGGAGGAAGAGTATTTTGGTCCCCATTTTTAAGAATAAAGGGGATGCACAAGAGTGTGCAAATTATAGAGGAAATAAGTTGATGTGCCATACTTTAAAATTATGGGAGAGGGTAATTGAACATAGGTTAATACGTATTACAAAGATTTCCCATAATCAATTTGGATTTATGTCAGGCAGGTCTACTATGGAAGCTATACATTTATTGAGAGGTTCGTTGGAGAAATTCAGAGATAATAAGGAGGATCTACATTTGATTTTTATTGATTTAGAAGAAAAGATTACGATAAGATTCCAAGAGATATCATTTGGAAAGTTATTGAGAAGAAATATGTTGATTTGACTTATATTTAAGTCATTAAAGATATGTATACTAGAGCTGTTACTTGTGTTTGAACTAAAGGAGGATTGACCAATATTTTTCTATTTTTGTTGGATTACATCAAGGATCAACTTTAAAACTTTAAGCCCATAGCCCATATCTTTTTGCTTTAGTTATGGTTGGTCTTACTGGACATTTACATGAGATGTACCTTGGTGTATGTTTTTTTGCTGATGATATCCTTCTCTTGGAGAAAAAAACCTAGGAAAAACTTAAATTAGGGAGGTCTACATTGGATTCTAAAGGCCTTCTTTTGAGTAGAACCAAAATTGAATATATGGAATGTAATTTTAGTATTACTTGCTCTAGTGATAGAAGTGTAACTTTGGGTGATCAAATTATTAAAAAGTGTGATCAATTTTGGTATCTAGGGTCTATTGTTCAAAGCGATGGTGATATAGATTGAGATGTTAATAGTAGAATTCAAGTTAGTTGGTTGAAGTGGAGGAATGTTTCGGGCTTATTGTGTGATAGAAAAGTACCGCTTAGACTGAAAGGAAAATTTTATAAGATGGTGGTGAGACTTGCAATGCTCTATGGCGTTGAATGTTGGCCTTTAAAAGAGAAGTATATTACTAAGTGTTGTCGAGATGATAATGATCATATGGATGAGTTGCTTTACACTTAGAGGTAAAATGTGAAATGAATATATTTGTGATAGGGTTGGGGTAGCTCCAGTGATGGACGAAATTAGAGAGAGCCGTCTTAGATGGTTTGGTCACATTAAATGTCGACCATCTGATGATCCGATTAGGTGAGTAGATGTTTTAAATTCAACTTATGTTAACTTATGTTAAGAAACAACTTATGTTAAGAAAGGCAAAGGTAGACCTAGGAAAACTTGGCATATCTTATAAAAATAGATCTTAATTTATTAGAATTAAATGAAAATATGACACTTAATAGGACACAATGGAAAAAAAAATTCATGTAGCCGACCCTTTTTAGTGGGATTAAAGCTTTGTTGTTGTTGATAAGATAAATTAAAGCTGGAAGATCATTACTGACTCTGAATTAAGGTGTTGTGGATCTGGGAAGGAGCATGAGCTTGGTTTTAGGAGAATAGGAGCATTTATTGCATTTTAGTGTTGAGTAAAATTGTGATTATTTTTTGTCTAGTCCTTTAACAAAACAGCCTAGCATGCTCATTAGAAGAGGAACTGCTGAAGCTGTCTGGCCAGTATGGCTAACCGAATCTGCTGGTACTGTAGCTTTTTAATTGCAAAGCACTGATAATGTTCTCCTAAACAAACCCTGAGTTTCATTTTTTGATGCAATATGAATCTGATAAGATCGAGTAAAATTTTCAGAAGAATGAGACCTGAATGTAGCAGGTCGAGGTTAGGATCAACACATCAATGATAAATTATTTTGTATGGTTGTCTTTGCAAACTGTTCTTTGGAATAACATATTTTTTTGTAGGAAATATTGTTCCCTTTCATTCTCACATAACACTTCTACACTTGACAAAGTCCACATGCCCACAAGGAACTGCAGTGGGAACCTTAATGATTCTTTTAGAGGTTGAGGTTTCACAAGACATTTGAAGCATATGATGACTAAGAAGATGTTATGCATGCAGTATTAACTTGGAGGCAGCCTTGAAATGCCTTTTATGGGGAGCATTCTCAACATAGATTCCGCCTGAAATAGGCGGAGAGTTTGCAAACATCAAGTGAAGGGACATATGTTGCTTTGAGCATTATTTAGGGAAGGTGAGGGAACATAAGGAATCATTTTGAGCAAACCTATACGTGGGAATTGAGAGGCATTTTATGGGTATCTTATTATTTAGTTAGAGCCGGTGGGTAAGTATTTTCGTCAGGAAATGAGAGTATGAGATGGGGCAGCACAA